ATATATACGACAATACATAGTGTATAGTTTAATATACATATCAGATTATAGCATTTTAGACTAGCTAAAAGTTTCATGTGTATAAATGAAAATTTCTTAATCTGTTATCTCCTCACAAAAACATTACTTTTAGCCGATACACTCGAGCCTTAACTCGATCTTAAAACTTGAGAATCACTAAGAATAGAAAATCTCTGAATCAAGATTTGTACCTTACTTTGTTGGTAGAAATTCTACCTTTGTTGGCCTTCGACATTTTTCCCATACCTTTTGGGAAAATATCAATAGCATTTTGAATAGACATAATAAACGAGGCAGGTCATCAAAGTGACTATATCCGAAATAATTTTTTACCTGTTAGCCGACCAGTCCTTTGCCTTATTTTCCGCTTAAAAGAGCTTATGTAAGACGTACAGATATAGTTCATGTTAAATGTTCTCGTAAGGATTTGTGCGCAAATTTACTTTTTGCGAGCACAAGACTTGATTGAGTGCAACGCGATCTAGTTCGCGATCTAGGGTCGGGAGGTGATTTATCAAACGGCCGCGTCATTATGTCCGAAAGGGACACAGCGTGCTAGCGTGATCCGCTATTCTTCCACCGAAAGAAGAATACGTATTAATTTATATCTGCATGCAACTGGCCATTGTCATGTAAATCCGATCTCGGCGCATTAACTGAGGTTTTCGATGCGTGCAAATTGCAATATTTTTAACCGTACGCATAAAAGTCGAAAGAATGCTTAGTAATGGGAATATATCTGGTTGTTCTAGTGTCAATCGCGTAGATTGGAGGCAATATTAATGTTTATAATTCAAATATATCTTAGTTTTGGCGCAAAAATAAGATTTTATTTAATATTAAAATTAACTCTTAAATACTTTGTGATATCTCGTTGTGATAACGAATACTTGGCCAAATATTAATCTAAATCTTGCGCGAGATTCGGATTCTTGCGTTACTTAACATCTGGCTTGACTAATGTAGAAAACGCATCAAGAAAACGATGAATGTACCCGCAGTGTGTGCAGTTCGTTGAAAGAAAAAATTACGCCCGTATCTGCGTCTTGTACATGAACACCTCGGATAAACATCTTGTTACCCTCATGCGAGGAGGAGTCGGCAACGACGCGTAAGGAAAGCGAGATTTCCGTGCTTGGAAATACGACGAGATTATCATCTCGCGGCGTACATTTCGACATAACCGAAGCTCTGAACGCGGCCAGATCGAAGTTGCTCCATTTGCGCGGAATGAAATGTTGCCGCGCGCGACTTTTCGGCTTCCGAAATCGCTCGCTCGAGGAAAAGGGGAAGGGTGGAGAAGGTGAGAAATTCGCGGGAAGGGTTATACTATAGATACGCTTTGCCCCGGGGCCCGAAAAGTCGTTGATATCGAATCCAAGAGGTCGCTGAAATAAATCGTTAGCTCGAGATAGAAGGGTAGTAGGGGCTTCCCGAGGGTCGCGATTGGTTGTTTCGGGGATGAAAGCACCCGAGGCCTAGGTACGTTTTACGAGCTTTTTTTTACGAGTTCCGGAAAAGGAACCGAGCTGCTCGCAAATTGGAGCGTAATTCCGTGAAGGGGAGGAAAGCATGAGCAAAAGGGAATGAGATCAATTGTATTAAAATTTCTATCAAATTTCTATTGAGCGTTCGATAGTCGAAAATCCGAAGACGAAAGGAGATGATAAAGGGAGAATGCTTATATTGATATTGCATATTTTCATATTGCATATTCAGATTGAGATTATTATATTATTATTGAAATAAATCGTACAAATTCTTAACAAATCAAATTTAATGGTATAAGAGCGGAAGAGCTAACGCAGGATGCGCTACATCTATAGATTGAAATTCGTCTTTCTAAATTCTATTGTACTGATCAGAATTTTTCGACAAAAATCTTTCGTCATTCGATGAAAATCTTAGAACATCTTAGAATATGCGAGAATCTTAAAAGATCAAAAAGAATTTTTCGATCAAGTCAGCAACTCAATATTTTCACGCGGATATCGCCATGCGACTTTTACACTCATTTTTTAAATTGTAGTCTTCACAAATATTCTTAGTTAGCTAATAATACAATCTTTGAAAAAGTACTTTTAATAATTATAATGGTTTTTTTTTAGCAGAGAATGTGCGCGCCTTCGTTCTGCACAGCCTCTCCAATTCGTGTTACTTTTCACATAAATCTTTTTCATGATGTAATATTTGCCTTACGAGATTCTCAGAATTTCAACAGAGAAAAAAATTAGAAATAGGAATAAATATTAATTAAAATATCATATATAATATTAATTTTAAATATTAGGAATAGGAATTTATTTATTACTAATTTAAATATTAGGAAAATTGAAACGATTGCATTTCAAACAAGAAAACCGAATAGATCTAACGCATCTTGAATTAGAAAATAAGAATTAGGAATAATTAATCTCGTTCCTTATTTGAAGTAAAATAATATTCTAAATTGTTTTTTCTAATACTTACCGCTATTTCTAACATTTTCTTTATTATACGGTATGATCTAATAGCTAGGATAGTTCTTGTTGATGTCTTGTATCCGACTGAAATTTTTGTATCATGTTCTTGTCTTCAGCTTTCAACTCCCTTCACCAGGAGTTGTGACGCGCGTGCGTAAAATTTCAACCCCCATCCGTGAAGGACTCCTCCCTTTTTACCCCGCTTACCCCGCTTCTTCTCCGTACAGCACGTGCAAGTAACACGCGTTAGACCAACACGAGATCGTAATCATCCCCTCTCTCTGACCCTTTGCCACCCTTGCTGCCCCCTTTTCCCCACCTCGTCGACATTGGTCCTGTGCTACAAAGTCCTGTCCTGAGTTCCCGCCATTGCGGACTAACTCCGAATAGTTCCGACCATTACCGAACGAGACGAGAAGAGGAAGAAGGCGGGCAGCTGCAAACGAGCGTTCCGCGTTAGAGTCCACGCAACACGGACAAAGACTGCTAGTAGGAATTTCGTCGCGAGTGGAGCACTGTACTAACCGAAAATCTAACCGCTGATTCTCGCTCAAAATACGGCAACGCGCCAAACCAAAGGTAGAGAGATACATCATTTCAGTTCAGTCGTGTGCCACGAGCGGCCAACCGGCGCGTACTCTGTGTTTCCCTCTTCCCTGTGTATCCAATGCGCGGTCACCTAGCGTGTAAGTCACACGGTATAGGCGAGGAGTTTATTCGTATGTTTGTGCACCCGGAAAGAACATTTTTGCTGTAAGATCTGAAAATGTCCAATTTTTTTGGATAATCAAAATTTATATAGCGCACTCGATCTTTTTCATATCGTAGCGAAAAGTTTTGACAGTCCAACCAAGATCGAGTGCTCTATTCATAAATTTTGAATTTTGTAAGAGAAGAGAGTGAGATTGAAAGCGAAGGAGAGTGAGCGAGGGAGAGAGAGAAATAAGGTAAGAGAGAAAGAGAAATCTATTGTTCGTATATGAAATTAGGAAGTAAAACTGCGTGAGTGGTGGTGGCTAGGATTTGTGAAGATCTGAAAAGAACAAAGAAAACGACGATTATGAGGAAACGAAATGTGATTCAGAATAGCTGCAAAAAATCTAAACGGAAACTGCTAAAATTTTATAATTATTAAACTTAAAATTAAAAAAAAAAATATAAATAAAATAGAAAATTGTGAACAATTATTGATGTAAAAAAATTAATATAAAAAATCACAAGTTATTATTAAAGCTAAAGCCAGAGCAGGGTCTTTGTGCTCGAACCTAACGTTTACAATAGTATAAACTCGAAAACAAACGTTTCGGTGTTGGGTTTAAACCATCTTCAGTGCGAAAGATTACATTAAATACATACATCAAAAACGAATATAATCAATCATCAAATTAAGCGCAACTTAGTTCTAACAATTTCAATAAGATGTAATACATGATTCTTAGTTAGTATTTTTGTTGGTTCCAATCAGTCATACAAAGGAGGTTGTTGTTTTTTTTATTCGTTTTTGATGTAATCTTCCGCACTGAGGATGGCCTAAGCCCAAGGCCGAAACGTTTTTTTTCGAGTTTATACTATTGTAAACGTTAGGTTCGAGCACAAAGACCGTGCTCTTAGCTCTGGTTTTAGCTTTAATAATAACTTGTGAATTTTGTATTAATAAAAAGAGTCTATAATTGGATATTATTATTAAAAAATTAATATCGATTCGTAAAATCTTTGGATGTACTCATAAAATTCGAGAAACTACAGAATGTTGCTTACCGCCGCGGTTGTTATCAACGCGACGCGATTGCAAGTTTCGGAGCATCGCGAAACGCAGATTGCAACCATTTGACGACGAATACAATGAGAGAGAGAGTGCAGAATCACTCTCCTTTTCGTTCGGAGAACTCCGGACGTCTCCGTTCGACGTCTGAAAGAGGAAAAGGAACGGGCGGTGAAAGGAAGAGGAGGAATAGGGTGCGCGACGATGCGGTTCCTCCGAAGCAAGTGAGGTGTGGCGCCGAAATTTGTAATAATTGCGAAAGATGCAGCGTGATGCAACTCGGAATGAAATTGCGGCAGGATGCAAACCGAAACGAATAAAAAATCATTATCGGCAGAATTATAAAATTCTCGTAAAAAGAGAAGAGAAAAGTCGGTTGGAGATTGTTTGAAAAAGCCATCGGCGCATCGAGCAGCTTCCCAGCGAGCAATTTATTCCGCGTACACGCGGATCATTGGATCACCGGTTGCGTGAAAATGTCCTCGAAGCAGGACACCGGAGCAGACTACGCGGAAGCTGCAAGGGTACGCTGCACATTTTTTTTCATCCACATCGGCCCGCTATTCATCAACATCGCCATCACCGGTGGATCACCACCACCACCGTTACACCACCACCGCCACTACTCGGCACCAGTGGTATTGCTGCAACCACCACTACCGCCGCCACCACCACCACCGCCAATCTACTATCCGCCGTCAACGCCTCCCGTGCTTGCCGCCGGCGTTGCACGGTAGTGTCCTCGAACACGGCATGCACGTATCGTGCTGCGAAAGTTTTACGAGTCTCGCGGTGCGTCAGACGAGAAACGTGTCCGTGTGCCGCCGACGCCGACGCCGGCGTCGCCGTCGAGACGTGTGAGTCCCGGGACAACGACGACAGACACGTCCCTCCCCGAAAATCCGCTCTACCTAGGCTCGCCTTACGCATGCAGCGTGTGTGTGGGAAACAGGTTCTTAACCATGCATTACTCCGTTTCCGTCAGCAAGCTTTTACCCGCGCGAATGGGCCCCGGCTCCAGGATTCAAAGGACTCTTGTTTCTCCGTGGCCCTGATATCGCCTTTCGTTTCAGTTTTCGCTTGAGCTTTTATTTCAAGTCGCTCGGTGGATGTGTCATTCGTGTAATATCCGCGTAAAGTTCCGAGCAATTGCAAAATTTTGCTTAATTTGACATTAAATCGATACGCGCTTGTTTGACAGAACATAAATAATAAGAATGTTAAAAATAATCGTCAAAGTTATTTAAATTGGAGTACCGTAATCGTTTTTCGGACAGTGATAACGATCAGTTTTGATCTTGTTAAAAAACAAAAGGCGAGGGTAAAAACTTGTCAATAATGTCAATAATGTCAAAGTGTCTCTAAATCAACTAATATTATTAATTTTCAAATTGAAAGTTCTATTTGTGCGAACGAGTAATGGAAATTGCTGGTAAAGTATAAATTTACTAGGAAATATAAATAAGAAAAATATTAAAGAAACATTGCGAAGGTGCGGTGTGCTAAAGTGAACCTTAGAACCGCTGGTCAAAAACTTTAAAACCGCCGTGCTGCTCTGCACGGCTAACCTACGGCAATATTTCTTTCTCGCGGTTGAGACGTGCGGGCAAGGGGGAAGATTTCGACTGTTCTCTCCACCCGGAGGAACGATGGAATGGATCGAAGCAGCGAATGAACAAGAAATACCAGTGAGAAGAACAGCGGCGAAAGATTTACGGGACAATCCTTTGGTTTGCATTTAACTCGTCCGGGTTTGTCTTCATCGGTCGGCATGTAACTTTGTTCGAATATATAAAACGCATTTTTCAATCATTAAAGATCGTATGTAATAAATTATCGCATCTTAACAACAAATTGAGAAATTGATGTTAATGTCGAGTCCAACGGTTGATCAATTTAATTTTCTCAATTTTAAATTTTCTAAATTTTAGTCGATACTTCAGTCGGATCTTTCGAAAGATTTTGGTGGTTTTTCAATCTCAGAATTTTAATTTGCATATTATGATAATCGTTTCGAAACCGTCTTAATTTTTTATTGCAGAACGTCAATTTGCTTAAAAACGGAGAATGTAATTTTCATTGGAAAAAAAGAGGGAAAATAAATCTGCGATTGTTTCGTCGACGAATCAATTATCTTTTATTCTAGCTGCGTAATATTTTTTTTCACGCTGTACTCTTTTTCGAAGCCCGTGCGTGGGCTCGGACGTCGTTTGCGCGCATTAATCCGTGGTTTAGCGAACCAATTTAAATATCAGCGGCGCGCTCGACGCAATTTTATATCATTTCCGATATCGCGCGCTTGTGTGGGTGGGTTTAACGCTGCGAAAGCTCTCCTGTCCCCCCCTCGCGATGATCCCCGCCCCCTTACCCCTGCACGCTCTTGCTGTCCCCTACCCTTAACGTGAACCGTTACGCACCTACACCAGATATGCGTGTTTTACGATGCGTGTCGTCGCGTACTTGGTTGTCGTTTTCTTCATCGCCGTCGTTGTTGTCGTCGTCGTCATCGTCGTCGTCGTCG